TTCTTTGGAAAACCCTGACTAATACCATTAGGAATTAAGAAGGCTCCCTGGAGAAGTGACTGATACTAGGACTGGGGTGGGAAATACACAAGATAATGCTATAGCGTCTTTCAGTGACAAAAATTTAGGAAATAATCAAAAAGCCCACTGAAAGAGCTCCCAGTGGCAAAATTGGAATAATTTGTACCACGAAGGAAAGACAGAGGGAAGGAAGGAAGGAAGGAAGGAAGGAAGGAAGGAAGGAAGGAAGGAAAGAGGGAAGGAAGGAAGAGAGGAAACATGGAATCCTGAGCATGTCCCAATGCATGGAATCACATCTCATGGTGGGGCAGGGGTGCAGCACAGTCAGGGGAGGGAATGCTTCAGAGAGGGGTTAAGAGCATGCTGCTCTTCTCTGCTCTGCTCCATGCCCCAGAAAACAATCCCTACAGACTTCCTTGCTTGCTAACTAGTCATTGTATTTGGCCTTAAAAACTGGCAGTAGATCCAAGGATGAGAGGACAAAGAGTGTGAGGTGTCCATCTCTGGAAGTAGCTGTATCCCTCTTTGACCATGACTCCTGTTGGGCAGTTCCTTCTCAATGCTTTCACTTACTGGACTCCCTTTGACACTAAAAAGTAGTCACGGGGCAGGAAAACCATCCTCTTTTGGTCTTGGAGGCTCCACTCAGAGGCTCCACTTCCCCCAACACTGTTGCAGTCCCCACTCTCCTCATGCCCCTTTAGCAGCCCCTTCTGTAAGGCCGCTGTCATCTGTATCTGTATTCCTTTCACTTAAGAGACTCAGCTCCATCCATTGTGATAATGGAGGCCCTTGTGTTCCTGCTTCTGTCTGAAACTGCCAGCCTAGAATTTATCTGAATGCTCATGAAAGTTTTCTTTCACCACTTTCTTTCCATGCCCTTTGCCTAACTTGTTTTCCTTCACAGCACTTGGAGAAAGTAGCCACAAAGAAATCTTAACCTGTATTCAGTAGACCTAGTTTTAATACTAACATTGATATTGTTCTTTTGATACTACCATAGGTATATTGCAGGATAAAGCAAATACATAATATATTTATGTCATTCAGGGCCAAGCTTTCAGTGTGAGAAACAATAAATAAGGTATAAAACCATTCTGTAACATTCTTTTTAAATTGAAAATATTAGCATAACTTCTGATTTGTTTTTTTAAATATTTTTTAATGTTTATTTTTGACACAAAGAGACAGAGTGCGAGTCGGGGGGGGCAGAGAGAGAGAGAGAGAGAGAGAGACTGAGTCTGAGGGAGTCTCCAGGCTCTGAGCTGTCAGCATGGAGCCGGACAACACAGAGATGGACAGCATGGAGCCGGACATGGGGCTAGAACCCGCAAACCATGAGATCATGACCTGAGCCGAAGTTGGAAGCTCAATCGACTGAGCCACCCAGACGCCCCAGCTTCTGATTTGTTTTTAAATATATTCTTACATCTTTCCTAGTTCTGACCATTGAAACGACATCAAAGCAAAGACAACCCAGTAAAAGTGAGTACTCTTTTCATCCAAATTGTACTTTATGAATATTATTTCCCAATATAAGGAACTGGAGCTATTTGGCAGAATGGTTGGTCCCATGTCAGTGACAAGGTAAGTACAAGGTAAGCTGGAGACAGATCGTCTCAGAAAACAAGGAAGCTGTAGAAGCTGAATGGGTCCTGTCAAAAGAACACAGAAGCCAATCTGAAGAACTCCCATTGGCTTAAGATGGGACAATTTAAGCACCCAAAGAACTAATGGCTGCAATGGATGAAAACATATCAAATATATAGATATTTTAAACTGTGAGTTTATAATTATACCAAAAATTCAAACTAAAAATCTTGATTACCTTTCTAATTGCTAAACTCTGAATCCGTTACTCTAAAAAGTGATTTAAAAGGGGAAAGGATGGGGGCCGCTGGGTGGCTCAGTTGGTTGTGTCCAACTTCAACTCAGGTCATGATCTTGGGGTTCGTGGGTTTCAGTCCCGAGTTGGGCTCGGTGGTGACAGCTCAGAGCCTGAAGCCTGATTCAGATTCGGTGTCTCCCTCTCTTTCTGCCTCTCCCCCCTATTTGTGCTCTGTCTTTCTCTCTCTCAAAAATAAATACACATTAAAAAAAAAACAGGGAAGGATCAAGAACTTTGTTTCACTCTCCTGAATGAAGTTAGTATCAGGTTACCTAAAAAGTAAACATTAAGATTCCTTCTTTATAGATGAGTACTGACTAACAAATGCAGACACAGGATGATAAAATTGGAAAGGTGCCATTTTGCAACCCCTAATGAAATAGTGAGTCTAGGAAGTGCTCAATGAATATTACAATCTTAGATGAAATTTTATCGTGTACCTTTCAGTGGAGGGGTGGGGCTGAACCACAAATGTCCCCTGATCCGTCTTAACATCACTAAAAATTAGACAACTAGCATTATGTACCTCGTGATACAATGCACTCAGGAGTACAGAGCACAGCCAGAATGCCTCTTGCCTGAAATAATGGAAGTAAATCTAATCAACTCAATACAAACTCTAGTACACAGAAAACCAAGGATGGAAGAAGTTATGTGACACTGATGGGACACAACGAGACACAGCCTGGAGGTAGACATTCTGTAGAAAAAATAAGTTCTCCACAAATAAGTGACACATAGAAAAGGAAGGAGTTTGTTATCAAATAGAAGAATCTTAAGAGACATACCTGTTAAATGCAATATGTGAACCTAGTTAGGATGTTGCATCAAGCAAACCAGGATTAAAAAAACATCTTTGAGATGACCTGAGAAATTCAAATACAAGTGGGTATTAGATATCATTTAAAAAAAACCTGTTTCTTAGGAAAGCTATAGTAGTGTTATGCAGTTGGATTAAAAAGTCATTATTGCTTAGACACACCTGCAAATATTTACAAGTGAAATGACTTGCTGTCTGGGTTTCCTTTAAGTCACTTCAACAAGAGTAGTAGAGGATTTAGATATAAAAAGTAAGGGATTAGATGAAACAATCATGAGAAAATGTTAATAAATGTTTAATCTGGGTGATTGGTACATGGTGGTTTATATGCTATTCTCTGCAATTGTATCCACCTGAAATGTTCAAGGATACAAATTTTGTTTAAAGTATTGGGGCGCCTGGGTGGCGCAGTCGGTTAAGCGTCCGACTTCGGCCAGGTCACGATCTCGCGGTCCGTGAGTTCGAGCCCTGCGTCGGGCTCTGGGCTGATGGCTCAGAGCCTGGAGCCTGTTTCCGATTCTGTGTCTCCCTCTCTCTCTGCCCCTCCCCCGTTCATGCTCTGTTTCTCTCTGTCCCAAAAATAAATAAAAAACGTTGAAAAAAAAATTTTTTTAAAGTATTAAGTAAATCATCACACCGAGGAGAGCATTTAATTGAGGATTACATTTCTACTGACAGTAAATATGATGTCTTACAGAAAGCTTTCAGGTGACTCCCAGCATGGCTCTAGGGTAGAGAGGCCCTTAGGACGAGGACATCCGCTTAGAATAAAATTGTTTTCATTAAGTGTGAGAGAGGAAAAAATAATATTTTTAATTGATTAGCTTGATATTTTAGTTTGTATGATATTTTAAATATAAATGTGTGAATGGGAGCCTTCTGAACTTAATTGTAGAGACAAATGAGAAGATTTCCTCCTTCTCAAATACCCAAAAATGAGAAGAAGAAGAAACAAAAAAGTAAACTCCACCTTCAACCACCAACATGAAACAATCTAAAATCCATAAAAAAAAAAAAAAAAAA